TACAGAATAAACTATTCCTTCTGTTAGGAGGTGCCTAACAGGCAGATAGCATGCAGCAAGCAGCCGAGCTTACAGCAGGCTATCGATCGGCTTACACATGACGAACGCAACTCGCAGTCAAATCAATAAAGAATTCAAAATTTAAGCTGAATGCCAGAAGCTGAGTCACAGCCAATCGTGCCGGTAGCCAAGCCAGGACAGAAGCTGATTGGCTCGATAGATCTAGTTTACACTCGTTTGTTTCTCTAAATATGTTGTACCTTTTACACTCAAAGACTTCTGCTGTTGCCCACTTCTTGTCGTGTTCTTCCTTGGGGGACTCACAAAAGACATAATTAGTTGGTGATATCTCGGCCTTGGCTACCGTTACAATACCTTCCACTTGTCGTCTCACTCTTCCCACAAGGAGCTCGTGGCGGCAAGGGTTTTACCTATTAACTTAACCCACTGCGATGTTGCGGTCACACAGGCACGATGTCGTGTCCAGGCGCCTGTATTATAAACGACGACTCGCAATCTCATAAATAATTAACAACTGGTTGGCAACCATGTCAGGGGGGACATGACTGCAGTGTATTCTGTTGCAACCCTGTCTGACAACAATGCATCGACTGTTTACTGTGTTACCTGCACCCCACTAACGCTGAATGCGGCTCCAGTGTTGACATGGTCAATGCGGAGATTAAAAACCCCACAAATTTAATTACATTTTTCGTCTAATTTCTATAGCCCGCTTCATAACCCACATAGGCTAGTAATAAAATCCGTATAAAGCAGCAGTGTGAACGCAGTCCGTCGACGTACGGTTGAATAGGGTGAATCTGAACTGAAAAGCAATCACGCCTAGCGCCTAAAGATGTCTGCTATGCGGTGGATCATTCGTGAGCGTATGTGTTCCTTCTTCGATCAGCATACCCTAGTTCAAATGGCTGGATATATTTTATAGACCTACAGTGTACAACCAAAATCATCAGCCGAAGGCTTGCTCAGCACGGATAAGTTGCAACCATCTTTCTTGATCCCAGAAAGAATTCTAACACTCAATGGTACATAGGCGCTCGCTGATCGGCTACGGAACTCACTCATTCTGCTGTGCCTTGGAGCTTGCTGTGCCCTCCCCCAGAAACCGCCTGTATCATCGAAAAAGAGAAGGGAGGCCGGAATGGCTATTTCTGGCTTATTAACGGTCATCAGCCAACCATACCCAAACCCCAGGGTGGCGACCACTCAGGTTCTTACCCATCACTTTGTTAGTTAGAAGTTCAACGCTCTAAACACTGCACCACGGGTTTATCGAAAAAGTAAGGTTAATAAGTTTAACCTCCGTCACTACGATTTTCCAGGCCCGGCTCCTTAGGTGAAGGAAAGCAGGTGGGAGGCCAGATTGGTAGCGACAGTTTATTTTGTACAAAGGCACGGAGAATAGGTAGGAGGGGATTTGACTGTCAGACTAACGCACGTCCGTAGGCCAGCGGGCTGTGTCTGAAGTGACGAGAGCGTAGGGCATTGCCGGAAACTCAGAGCATGCTTTATTCCTGCAGCCAATCGGGGAATGGGTCACACTGATTGGTTTAAGTTCTCACGCGAGTAGACCAAGGCAAGCGAGTCTGCGGCCGGACCGAGAGCGTGGACGCGCAAGTGATTAGTCTATCGCAAGGGGTTAAGTCAGTTAAACCCTAGCAACTGCGATCTTCAGACCATGGCAACTTAGTGGAGAGGAAGTCTTGGGAAGGCCAGAGTGTTAGGAACAGTATATTGTGTGCATAGGGGAACGGAGAATAGATGGAAGAAGTTTGACTTGGGAGAACACGACCATCCAGGAGAGTCAGCCGGGCCCAAGTGCCAGTTTGACAGTAGTCAGGCCTGTGGGCAGAGAGAGCAATTCACACGTGCAGTGTTGCTATTCGTTGCCTGGCCAGAAAACAGTTTTTTGCGGCAACTGTGATTGGCTGATCCAGGCGTCGAGAACCGCAGTCGTGAGATTCTAGTGGAGTTCATTTCGACACGAGCTAGTCACTACAAGTCAGCGTGTGGCGGTCAGTCACGTGCGGGCCGGCATCTTGGCAGCCATAGAAAATGCGAGTCAGCGCAGTGCTTATGATCATAGGTTCCGGGGTGGTGCTAGCGGGTCACTACAGGTTCGTTGCCTCGCTGGTTTCGATCGAGAATATACACAATGGTAGGCGAGGGTTCACCGATCGGTTGTGGAATTCGTTCGTGACCTTGCTTCATGGAACTGCTTCGCCGGCCCTGCCAGCAGCCGTTCAGCAGTTATCCTATGCTATAGGCAAAAATTCATTACCGACGAAGACAAGGGAGACTAGAATGACCATTTCTGACTTATTAGCCGTCAATTAGCCAGCCATACCCAACCCCAAAGGTGGCAAACCCCGAGACTCAAACCTGCGACCTTGTTAGTTAGAAGTTCAACATTCTAAACATTCTGCAATACTCTTTAGCAATGCCTTCTCCGTAAGAATGTTTAAGCTATACGATGGAGCAAATGGCGCTGTAAACTGGTTAAGAAGATTTAATTCCAATAGGACTGTCCATGCGAATGCCATATCGCCAAAAATTTCTCTTCACAAGACAGTTCTTTAACTATCGGTGTTCCGTCTATTCTTCGTGGTAATCTTCGTAATTGAGTATCCTGAGAAGTTTCGAAGTTTTGCCTGTGTAAGACAAAAACGACGCATTCAGGCGTAGCGTCATGTTTTCGACCAAGAAGGCCTGTGGTGACTCACTCCGTGTAGGCAAGCATGTGCCAGGGTTCATCATGTACACGTGCACCGGCCGCCTGCACCCGTCCGTCTAGCCAATACGTCGGACCAA